CTTTGCTTCATCTTCCTCATCAAAATATTATTTTTGAGAGTTAGAAATATTTTTTCTTTGAGTGCTATAGAAGTTGTCATCCATAGAGCTTAAATCTTTCAACACTACTTTGCTCAATTGTGTGAGCTTTCGTTCTTGTGTTGTAAACTCAATCTCATTTGAGTGTTGTTCTTAAGACTTGTGTGACTCAAGTCTTGTTGTTGTAAGAAAGTGAGGCTTGTGTGATTCAAGTTCTCAAGTTGTACCGGTTTTTCAAGCACCCGTTGAAGCTTGAAGATTAGTAAGACTTTCGAGAGAGTCTCTCGGAGGACTGGACTAGCCACGAGGTGGTGAACCAGTATAAATCCCGGTGTTCTTCTTTCCCTTACTCTCCTTACTTTTTCCTGCGATAATTTTTACGAAAAACGTACATTCTTGAAAACAACTCTATTCACCCCCCCCTCTAGAGTTGCACTTTTGTCTAACACTAAGTGCAGATTGTAAGCTTCAATCAGTTTTTGGAAACAATTTTCTGCAATTTTACCCTGATACGAACTCGTATCGGATAGGGAAGACTCAGAGCGTCTTCGAGCTCTTGAGAATATGAGACGAGGAAGAAGAAGAGCAATTGATGCGAAGAGGGAATCGGCGAACCGAGAGGGGAGAAGGAATTAGGGTTTTGAGTTGTTTATTGATTGATTCATTCTAAAGGGGTTTACATCTCCTTATATAGGGAAGAAGAAAACCCTAACGCTAACTAGACGGTTCAATAAAAGCGACGAGGGAAAGAACCGTAAAGAAACCTCGAAGGAGCTTATAATTTTGCTCACCTAATAACATCTACATTACAATAATAATAATAATAATAATAATAATAGTAATAATAGTAATAATAATAATAATAATAATAATAATAATAATAATAATAATAATAATAATAATAATAATAATAATAATAATAATAATAATAATAATAATAATAATAACTAAATATCCTACTGTACTATCCATAACACTCTCACCCCCTTAGAAAACCACCTTGTCCTCAAGGTGGAGGTTCCCACTCATGTTTCTGAACTAAAGAAAAAATGTTGACCCAAAGATTATGGCCACTTGATGACAGATCTTCACTAAGCTTGCAGATTGGAGTATAGCGATGGACAAAAGAGAGAAAGCAAATACAAACTTAGCTACCTGCGGTGAAACCCAATACTCAGACTCCATTGTATGCACATGGCCAGAGGACTGGATGATATCAAAGGAGAGTGAGATGTCTGCTTGTGTATAAATCACATCTGCTACTTTGGCGGTTCTGGACGGAGGCGCAAGGCTACATGCGGGGATGGTATGGCTCAAAGTTTGATCGAAAGGCATTAACTTCTTCATTACCAGATGCAGCTACGGGTGTATCAAAAGCTACAAGATCTGATCGAAAGGCATTAACATCATCATCAACAGAAACACCATCATCATCAAATTCAGGAACTCCCACTGAATTAAGAACAATGCGCTCCACATATTCCATGTCATTTGATGTGGGGTTGTGTAGAGGGGTTGTAGGGGCCATATTAGGTGGAGCAAGTGGAGCACCGAGAAGGTTTCTTATAACGTCCCTCATCTTTGTTTTGAAACTTTCCAACTCCAAAGAATTCTGACTTAATGCAATTGAAGGACCACGAACCAAATCTTGTATTGCACAAGATATATTTACGTCGAACTCATATAAATCTGAGTCAGAATATGGTAGCTCTAAAAGACGACGAATTAAGTGGAGCTTCTTCATAATTTCATCCACGTGATCATAAGCTACTCTTACTCCTTCGTAGAATTCAATTTTTCCATAAAAAATATTCTTTAATAAACCAAGAAGTTTGTCCAAAGCATCATCCATTGTCACAATAATTTTATCAAAAATCAATGCCATAGTTGGAACAAGAGGGATAGCCTCTAATTACAAAAAAAGAATTGTAACAAAAGATATGCCTAGGCTCCCTGAAAAACCTACTCGGCAAATTAAGGCCAAGATCCCCTCCCAAAATATATATATGCAGCACTACTTGTTTTATGCGATGCGCCCGAATACAATATCAATTACCAAGGAATTAATATGGCTTGCACCTGGGTGCCGACAGATTTGCAGGTGGGTGCAACAACAACACTTTGTTTCTTGAAAAGCAAAAGCAGCCCTGCTAGCAAATTGGAACACGGCGGCCATGACGCGCTCTACGAATCTTAGGAATTTTTTTTCGGAACAATAATCAGGCGGAGACAAAATTCCTGGAGAAGAGGAAGAAGAAGAGGAATTGAGGCTAGGAGGGAATCCGAGAACTGAGAGGGGAGAAGGAATTAGGGTTTTGAGTTGTTTATTAATTGATTCATTCTAAAGGGGGTTACATCTCCTTATATAGGGAAGAAGAAAACCCTAACGCTAACCAGACGGTTCAATAAAAGCGACGAGGGAAATAACCATAAAGAAACCTCGAATGAGCTTATAATTTCGCTCACCTAATAAAATCTACATTACAATAATAATAATAATAATAATAATAATAATAATAATAACTACATATCCTACTCTACTATCCATAACATACCCTTTTACATCAAAACTCAGCATATATGGTTCCAAAATCAACTTGTAAACATGCTAAATGCTTCCTTATCAATTCCTATGCAAGTTTTAAACAATTATACTTCAAAAATCAGCATATAGGCACCTTAGGAAAAAAATTCAGATTATTAATCAAGAGAAAAGTTGCTGATTTTTTTATAAGAAATGATAATTCAAATCTGGTTTTGCTTAGAATCACCATAATATGCATCATAATCAACATATAAACCTCACGGTATGCTTCTAAATGTTGTCCCTAAGCAAGATATATCAATGATAGTTCAAATTTCAAGCAAAGGAGCACTCCAAGAGACAAAAATCAGCACATATGATAAGTAAAAAGTGCAGATTTTTAAAAAATCAGCAAGCATAGCTTATGAAATTCAGCAAGAACACCATTGAAATGATTCAGTGCTTACAAAATGAGTATAGCCGTGTTTCATACATCAAAAGTGAAACAACTCAGCACTTTTGTCATTCAAATGCAACAAGTATGACCAATAAAAACCAAAATCAGCAAGTAAATATGCAGAAAATAGTCCCAATGAAGAAGGTGGGCAAGAAAAGAGTAAAGAAACTCGAGGAGGAGTACAATGAAGAAGATATCAAGAAGGTGGAACAATATGCAAAAGCTCTTAACCTTCTACTTTGTGCAATTGACGCGCAAGAACTTCAAAAGTTCTCCAGATATCAAATGGCTAAGAATCTATGGGATGACATTCGTGAGAAATACGAAACTCCGCAAGGAGAAAAAAAAAGCAACTCATATTTGCCTCATGGCCAATGAGGAAGAAGAGGTAAGTACTTCTAACTCTTTCTCATTTGAAGAATTACAAGAAGCCTTTCAAGAATTATTTGGTGAATTGAAGAAAACATCAAAAATTGCCAAAGAGACTAAGGCTAAAATTCATGCTTTGGAAGAGGGAAATAAATTTTTGAAAAGTGATAATTTTGACCTCAAAAATAAAATTAAGGCAATGAATGAAGATTTTTCCTTTGACCAAAGTTCTACTTGTTCCTCTTGTGAGTCTTTAAAAGTAGAGAATGTAGAACTTAAGAGAACCATTGAAAAAATTACGGTAGAAGAGCCTAAGAAACTTAGTGAGGAAGTTAAGAATGATAGACCACCTAGAAGAACTAATAATCCTAGGTATAACAAAATTAATTTTAGAAAAATAAAAGTAATAAGTTTTTTTTGCACATAAACACAAGCTTTATTACCAAGTCAAAGTTTGGGTACAAAACGGCAAACATACAACAGTCAAACACAAATATTTAAAACAAGGCTTTCATATAATAAAGATAACTTCTAACATATTGGATGGCTTGGTCTTGGACTTCTTCAATTGTCTTCCTTTTTTGGTGCCTAATCTCATTCCTCCATTTCCATATGAAGTAAATATGCGTACCCCAAATGGCCAGCATAATCCTTTTTTCCTTCCCCCCCTTGAATCTCTGTATCTCTTCCCCAATTCCAATCCCGAGTCTAAGCTTTATATTAAACATTTCCATGATGTTTTACTCTTTCACACTCCAAGAAGAGGTGATCTTGGGTTTCAGTTGCGTTACCACACAACTCACACTCTACACTTATATCCAGGAATCTAGCCATCCTTTCTTTCGTTTGTATCTTCCTTTTCCAGAACAGCCATCCCATAAACCTGAATTTTGGAGGTGTCAAATTATTCCATACCCAATGCCTCCATTCAGGCTTCATCTTATCTCTTTGTAGCAATTTATAACCTGCCTTAATGGTATACAGTTGCTGGTTTGGCATGGCATTGAATTTGTCCCTCACCCTTATCATTTCTCTCCAGTAATAGCAAGCATCTTGTTTTGGTTTGTAGTTCCAGAAATCTCCACCTTTAATATATCTAGCGTGGATCCACTTGACCCAGATTATGTCCTTTTTATTAGCCATATCCCAGTTGAGCTTCATAATTTCTGCTGTGTTCTAGTTCAGAATATTTCTGATCCCAAAACCCCCATACTCTTTTTGTTGGCAAATTTCATCCCACTGGACCAGTGGTGTCTTATGGTATGCAGTTGTTCCAGTCCATAAAACGTTTCTACATATGGCCATAATCTTTTTCATAATCCCTTTAGGGAAAATGAAAATCCTAGACCAGAAAGTGACTACTCCCATCAAAACTGAATTAATAAGTCTAACTCTAGCCATGTATGAGAAATGTCTGGTTCCCCCAAAAAGTTATTCTAGTAGTGAGCTTGTTGATCAAACCATCACATTCATGAGGTCTAAGTCTGGCAGTGGTAATAGGAGAGCCTAGGTAAGTAGGAGGGAACTTACATAGCTTCATGTTAAGCATGGTTAGTATTTCCTTCTCCTCAGCTAGACTAATTCCCCCAAATATCACTTCTGACTTGCTCCTGTTGACTTTTAGTCTAGTAGTGGATTGAAATTTCTCTAGGACTCTCATAATGCATCCAATAGATTGGCCATCTGCCCTGCAAACCACTACAAGATCATCAGCAAATGACAGGTTGATAATATTCAACCTTGCACACATGGGATGATAGTGGAATATCTCTTCTTGTGCTGCGAGACAGAAGCTTCTAGTAAGGTATTCCATTACTAGAACAAAAACCAAGGGTGAGATAGGATCACCCTGGCGCAATCCCTTTCCACCTCTAAAGAAACCATGAGCACACCCATTGATGTTAATGGTATATGATGGTGTGGTAATACAAAAATCAATCCATTTGATGAACCTCTCTAGGAATTTCAGTCCATGTAGGATACCTCTGATGGACTTCCAACTAACTGAATCATAGGCTTTTTGTATGTCTAACTTCATCATACATCTGGGGGATATCCCTTTCCTTTTGTATCCTTTCGCAATTTCGTAACATAATAGGACATTGTGTATAAGTTCCCTACTTTCCACAAATGCAGATGGGTTCAGATTCACTATGTGAGGGAGCACATCCTTAAGTCTCATACATATCATCTTTGAGATCACTTTATATATGGTGTTGCAGCAAGAGATAGGCCTAAAATCCTCTGGCATAGTAGGATTAGGCATTTTAGGAATCAGAGTTATTCCTGTTATATTAATCTGCCTCAATGTGATACCATCTCTAAAGAAATCCAAAATTGCTTTTGTGATAAGCCCACCAACTATATTCCAGTTCTTCTTGTAAAACTCACTGTTAAAACCATCTGGACCAGGGCTCTTAGAGCTGGGGATTGAAAACATAGCTTGCCTCACCTGATCTGAATGGAAATCCTTGATCAGTCCTAGTTGTTGTTCCACTGTGAGCACCTTTCCTTTTTCAAACACCTTCCAGTTTATATCTCCTGTAGGGGCAATGGTACCTAGATTTTTCCTGTAGAAACACCCCAGTACCCTAGCAATATCATCAGTACCTTCCACTTCTCTCCCATTATCTTGAATACTCATAATGTAGTTGTTCAGTTGCCTTTTCTTTGCCCAAGCATAGAACAATTTAGAGTTTTTGTCCCCTTCTGTTATCCAAGTTTGTTTGATCTGTTGACATTTGAGTAGATATGAAGCTTTGATTGCCTCATTCAACAGTTTTGTAATTTCCTTCTCCTTATTTATAAGATCCTGGTTTGGCATCTGCTTCATATGTTCTTGTAACTCCAGTAGTTGCTCTCTAATATCATCAACTTTCTAGTGGATCAACTTAAACTTATCCTTGTGAAGTTGTTTAAGAGGTTCTTTTAAACCCTTTAAGTTCTGCATGACTTGATACATGTTCCTTTGATTTGTGTCTTCCCTCCATCCATTCTTTAATATATGTGGGAACTTCTCATCTTCCATCCACATATTACAGAATCTAAATGGTTTACCCCTTGATTGATTGTTAATGTCTTGGATCAATAAAGGGGAATGATCATATATCCCTTCTGCTAGAGCTTTGACTTTACACCTATATTTACATGCCCATTCAATATTAACAAGAGCTCTATCCAGTTTAGAGTAAATCCTTTGGTCTTCATCTTGTTTATTATTCCAGGTGAAAAAAACCCCTTCACTAGGTAGTTCATCCAGACCACACTCATGTACACACTTCTTAAAGTCCCTCATATCCTCATTAGTAATAGGGATTCCTCCCTTTCTGTCTCCAAAGTTCAAGATGCAATTAAAATCTCCCACACAACACCATAGCCTATGAATACTGGTTGCATAGTTCCTTAATTCATCCCATAGCTGCTTCCTGCCTCCCACATCATTGAAGGCATATACAAAGGTAATATAGTCATAATTGGGAGAGTCAATGTCCCTTATTTTCACATGAATGGCCTGTGCAGAGCTGCCAATAACATGTACATTCAGCTTCTTATCATTCCACATAACCCAGATTCTACCCAATGGGTGGTGTTCCACATTTGTGTAGAAACTCCAGTCATTAAACAGTTTCTTCTTTATTTCTTCCTCCTTATTAATTCTAATTTTTGTTTCCAAAATCCCCATAATACTAGATTTATACTTATCCACAATATTTCTCACCTCCCATTGTTTATTAGTACAGTTGAGTCCCCTTATGTTTCAGCACACTATCATTGAAGGAAAGGGTAGTGACCATAAGGAGACTCTCTTATTGGGTCCCCTTGATTCCTCAGATCCTCTATTGTTAATTTCCTAGCATCTTTCCTTCCGGGAACCATTTGGAAACCCTCATCATCCTCTTTTACTTCATCTTTCTCCCTATTATTATTATTAGGGGTTGCTTCTTCATTTATTGTTTCTTGTCTTTGCCTTAGTTCTTCTTTGTTCTCAATCTCTTTAGCTTTTGGCCTCCATACTTTCTTTAGGATAGGTTTTTCCACTCTATCTTCCTTCCTCCTGCAAAGCTCCCCGGTATGGCCCAATTTACAACACTTTGAGCAGATGGTTGGCTTCCATTCATATATCACAGTTTGGTCCACAACCCTTCCCTCATTATCCACAACCTGGATTCTATCTGGAAAGTCTTGCTGTACTTGCACTTCTATTTGAATTCTTGCATAATCCCATTTCCTTCTTGATGCAGTTGCTTTATCCCTTTTTATGGGTTTGCCCAGGATACTGCCTAGCTTACCCAACCCTGTGAAACTCCAGAATTTAACATCCAATCCAGGGAATTGTACCCATATTGGATCATCACTCAGTTCCTTCAGATTCAGTTGGGCTCCTGGGTACCATGCCTGCACTAACATTGGTTTGTTGTCAAAATAATAATACTTCCACCTAATCACTTCATCTATGCTTTCAGCTTTGTGGAAGTTTACTATATATTGTCCTTCTTTAAGGAAACTAAAATTCTCTATATCATATTCCTTCCAGATTCGAGTAACAAATCCCTTCACAACATCAACCGGAGGGTTTGCCCCAAGTATAGAACATAGAACAGCCTTATCCCATATCCCATCGACTTCTACTATATCCTCCTCTTTGAATCTAGCTACACGCTGCCAATTTGGCTCTTCATATTGAAAAAAGGATAGATCTACTTGTACCTCATTCAATCCCAACACCTCTGCGTATGTTGGTGGTTTCTGTTTCCCAGTATTGTCCTCTTCCTTCTTCTCCATTCCATCTAATATATCCTGATCAGATCTGGTACTCTCTGGAAATTTAGACCCAAAAACCAGTGATCCATCAGGGGTTTTGAGTACATGCTTCCTATATTCTCCGCTAGCCTCAGACGCTGCACATTCATTGTTCTTACTCTGCGATTGCTGTCCTTCATCCTACTCGTCGATAGTTTTCTTAGGTCTCCATTTCTTCTTTGCCATGGGAGAGAAGAGAGCTTCTATGAACTTTAAAAAAATATATATATACCTTGTCATCTTTTCTTACCCCAAGTTATGAAAACATTACAAAACATTTGTACACATTCTCTGAATTTAGCTAATAATTCTAGGAATGATGATTTTAGATCACCTAGAAATTTTTTGTCTCAACCTAGCTAGGCATATGCATAATACAAACGTAGTATGCCATTATTGTTCTAAGATAGGACACATAGCTCCCGTTTGTTTTGCTAAACAGACGGACATTTCTTATAATTATGATTATGAAGTTTATTTTCCTAAACCCCAAGGATCCAAATGCTACTGGGTACCTAAACGTTATTACTAGATGCACAAAAGGGTATGCTTAAAGACTAGAAAATTGTAGTGGATGCTCCAAGCACGAAACTCAATGAACTGCATCAAGGGGGATGTTCGTTTTACGTTCCTACATTTTTTGACAATTGATGCCAAATTTTTTTCAAACAATTGGATTATTTTTTAACCCAAAAGGACCCAAAAAGACATTGAGTACCTAAAATCATTCTTTGAAGGAACCCCAACATGTTAGACGATGGACAAATGTATGGGGAACCAAAAGTAGGCGAGACTGGGCAGAAGTCATTCGAACAGCAATGCTGCAATCGAAACATCGATGTTCCTAATCACTCTAAGACATTTTCAAACATCGATGTTCAGTACCAAACATTGATGTTCAAGGAGTATATTTTACAATTTGTTTTAAGTGCTTTTTGCTAATGCCAAAAGGGGGAAGTGTTTGGGTATATGCAACAAGTGAGGGGAATCTTGTTTTCAAAGACGTAGGGAGAATCACCATTACTATCTCTTAGAAAACCCAACTTGGCCTGCATATCCCCGGCTTAGTTTGTCATTATCAAAAAGGGGGAAATTGTTAGAAAGAATTTTCACATTGATGTTTTGTTAATGACAATGCTTGTTTATGTTTAGGTTTTGTTATTGACAAACCGTCGGGAACATGGGACAAAATGAAAAGATTCAAAGTTATAGCAAAATCTCTTTGAAGGAACAAAAAGCACAAGAAAGGCATTGACGTTTCTAAAGACGACGACATTGGTGTTTTGAAGATGTTGTCTAAAGACTTAGGATACTATTGTAACAAGCTCATTCAATTTCTCTACTTCATGGCTCAAAACAAAATATATTTTTCATGCATCAAATCAGTGTTTTCATAAATGGTTTAATTTTAAGTTTCTAAAACCCCTGGTTCTTGTCCAACCAAAACCATAACCATCAGTTATCGGCGTTCGGCTATGGCATTCGGTTTTCGGCATGGGTTATTGGCATTCATTTTATCGAAATGGTTTTTGGATTTTTATCTTTGGTTTTTGCTTCTGAACACATTTAAAAGTTTTCCAAATGATTCCTTTTCAAAAACCAAACCTTTGTTTTCCAGCGTTACTTTTCAAAAACCATAAATCAAGTGTTTTTTTAAGATTTTATGATCGTTTATTACTTATGGGAATATCCAAATAGTTCTCCAACAAAAACATGTTAAAACCCACCTTTCGTTTTTGGTCTTTTGGTGAAAACCATGTGAAACGACATAAACTTGGCTAGCCATGGTTTTTACCTTAATGAGGTGTTTTTAAAGTTTTTATACTTGGTTTCTACATAAAATACATTATGTTGCTATCGGTTTTCGGTGTTGGCTGCCAAACCATGGTTCTGGCGAACCAGCCCAACAGGGATGTTGGAATTCTCAACAACGATGTTGGCATTCTCAATTCTTTGCAGTAGGTTTTTGGGCATCAATGTTTTCAAACAACCGTTGGGCTATTCATGACCAAATCTTTTCATTTTTAAAAGTCAATCACCCCAACATCGATGTAGACTTCTAGACATCGATGTTTTGATGACCGTTGGCCATTTTTAAAGGAAAGTCAAAGTCAAAACAGTGATGTTCACTATATGAACATCGATGTTAGGCCAATATTATGTAGACCAACTTTGATTTGATTTGCACAAATCATGCCAATAAACCTCAATCAACTCCCATCTGTTACACATCATTTTTGGGTATAAATAGAGGTCTTTTGGGTCTACTTTGAACAACCATTCCTCACATATTTCATAGCTTTACATTGAATCATTTCATAAACTTTTTAAATAGCTTTTTAGAGTCATTTCTTGAGAAATTGAGTGTGTTCTTGATCTAAATTAGTTTACTCATATTCTACTCTTTAAGAGAGTTTTTGTTCTTGAGTGGTTAAGTGTTGTGAACACTTTAAGGGAGGTTTGTTCCCTTGGTATTACGAATGAAGGGCATATTCCTTAGGGTTGAAGTCTTGGAGTGCAGTAACTCCAAGCAAGTGTATTGAGGCTCGTGGGACTCGAGTTCTCAAGTTGTAACGGTTTGTTAAGCACCCGTAAGCTTAACGGAAGTAGTGTACCTCGAGAGAGTCTCTCGGGAGGCTGGATTAGCCACACATTATGGTGGACCAGGGTAAATCTTGGTGTGCTCGCTTTACGCTTTTCACGCTCTTTACTTTTAACGTTCTTAAATCTTTATTCCTGTGAGATTTCGCTTCAAACGCTATTCACACCCCCGCCTCTAGCATTGGGACTATAATCTAACAGTCATGTCATGCAACTAGAGCAAACACTTCTTTATATTCAACTCCATACTCATGCTTATATCTATTTGGCACTAACCTTGCCTTGTATTTCTTAACTTCACCGTTTTCCTTCAGTTTTGTTTTGTAGACCCATTTCACACTGATGGACTTGCAGGGTCTGAGATGATCTGTTAACTCCCAAGGGTCATTCAGTTTCAATTGATTGAATTTCAGAATCAATTGCCCTTTTCCATTTTGTTGTTGTGACAGCATCTTCAAATCTCCATCCTTTTGAGCCACATCATAATTATGCATCCATGTTAGCCTTCTTCTAACACGTTGAGGATGAGAGTTATTCTCTATCATTGCTTCAATGACTATAGATTAAATGTCTCCTCATCCTTCTTCTGTGTTGGGAACTTATGGTGGAGGTGATTGTGGGCTTTCATTCTCCATTTCTTCAATAACAATTATATTGCTTGAAGTCGTATGTCATCTTCTCTAATTTCTTGACAGAATCTTCCTTCATAAAAAACCACATCCGGGCTAACAATTATTTTATAGGTGATAGGATTACAAAGTTTATAAGCCTTTGATTGATCATTAACACCAGGAAAAATACACTTCTCCCTTTTTTCATCAAATTTAGATCGCTTTTGGTCGGGAATATGAACATATGCAATAGACCCAAAGATTTATAAATACTCTACACTTAGTTGATTTCAGCTCCAAGCCTCCTCCAGTGTCATATTTTGAACAGCAAAAGTAGAACTTCTGTTCAAAATATGAGCACTCCAATTCACGGCTTCTGGCCAAAAAACCTTGGAGATACCACTTCTCTTCAATAGGCTCAGCACCATGTTCATAATAGTGCGATTTTTTTGCTGAGTTACACTATTTTGTTGTGGTGTATAACTTGCTATAAGTTTCCTTTTAATTACATTATCTGCGTAGCATTTCTTAAATTCTGCGAACATATATTCACCCCCACGATCTATATGGAGGGCCTTAATTGGACAACCTTTTTCCTTCTCAACCTATATTTCAAAGCTCTTAAATGCAATAAAGGCTTCTGATTTTTCTTTTAGAAAATAAACCCATAATTTTTTTTCTAAAATCATCAATGAAAGTGAGGAGATATTTATTACCTCCTTTACATGCTGGTTTAATTGGCCCACAGATATCAGAATGCACCAACTCTGTAAGTTCTTTGCTCTCCACGATGCTCTTTTAGGAAATTGACTGAAGGGATGTTTGCTAGCAACACACTCTTAATAGACCTGACAGGGAACCGTGATTTGAGGAAGACAAAGACCATATTTTTCTGTTGCAAAGTCTTTAGTTCACAAAGACTAGTAGGCTAAACATAGGATGGAAACATACAATTCTACACCATTTTGACTCGAGCAATCAAACCTGATCGAGTGTAGTTTTTTGGGTAGTAAACCTTCCCAGTAAAGGGTTAGTTTTCTCTTCGAGTGTCGTGTGTCGAGGAGTGGTAGAAGGGAATTAGTTAATTTCTCTTATTAGACGAAGGTTAGGATAGGTTTATGAAAGTCTTCTCGGGTGGATATAAAGGAGAGCAAAAATGAAGGTAAATTTATTTACATAGTATAAGCAAAATATGGACCTACGGTCAGGGCATCATTTGGATCTACTTTATAATATTTAATCAATATTTGGAATAATAATATTTGTATTATTACTTACCTATTTCTAGGATTTGTATTAATCTGTTGCCTTAAATATGATAGCCTTTCGACATATAATATTTCCTTAATAAATAGCTAATTAAATCTTTCGATATTAATTAACAAGATATAGAAAGAACAAGAGACTAATCATTCCAACATCAATTTAATATTCAATGTATACAACCAAACTAGTCCGGACCCAGGGACCCGAATCCTAACTCATACTATTCACACATAAATTAAAATAGCATTTTATTAAATAATAAAACTTACGAAACTCTAATTAAGCGGAACAGAGCAAAATTGGTGTCAAAACCTCTGAAATTACTTCAAAACTAATACTAAAACTAATATACAAGAAATGTTGAGCAAAATAGAGGAGGGAACCCGAAAGGGGTTGAGAGTTGAAGAAAATGGTGTGTATCACATGGTATATATAGGGCAGAAGGTGCAGGCGTCCAACCCTCTGGGCGTCCAACTTTGGACGCTCGTACCCTGACCACGTGTTTTGTCTCGTCCCGTTGCGCCGTGTGGCAGGGCCATGTCACCCTTCCTTGTTTAGGCGTCGAACTACCCCGGGCGTCCAACTTTGGACGCCCAGGACCCGCATCCTGCACCCTTTTGCTTCCAATCGCGAATGTGGGCCCAAATTCGTTCCGTATTGCCCCAATTGGCTCTCGAACACTGATTTCTACCTCCAAAGTATTGTGGTCGTTAAAATCTGAAACTTTTTCTCTAATTTGGGACATAAAATTGAAAAATCTACTTAATTTAATTTGGAACCCATATTTTATTCTTCATGAGACGAAACATAAGATTGTTACTGATAGACACCTTTAATGGGTAAATTTATTAATATTTTCGTTCAATAACACTTAAAATATGTAGAATAAAATAAGAACAAAATGGACTTATCAAAACCCAACTTTGCATCTCGTATATGACACAATCCATCCTTGATAGAAACTACACATCCCTTTTCTTGAAGTTGACCAATACTGAGCCGAATGGCCTTCAAGTTTTGAACAAAAAGAACATCAGAGATGATGTGGGTCGAGTTATCTTGGACTTGGTGACGGACTGTGTTGCGAAATGACTCGTCAAGAGTGGTAAAATTATTTAATCTTAACACATATGGTTGCTGCACCTAGAATCTAAATACCACTTGTTCCTTTGAGCTCGTTCAGTAATGCTACAAGCCATCAAGAGGGATATCTTGTAACACCCTCCGTCCCGCGAACCAGGTTCACCGCGGTCCAACGTGCTGGAGAGGTTACGTAGACGGTTTAAGGCCGTCTACAAGGAAAAACCCCTTGCCGTGGCTTGTAACGGAAAACCCTTGACATACTTTATTAAATGATGAGGATGAATTCACTTAAAAGAAGTTTATAGCGGAAGTAAATGTAAGTAAAACTGTTAGGTCATAAATAACGTAAATGCGACAAAAGGTGGGTTCATGCCCAAAACATTTTCATAAATTAAATAAGTAATTCATCTGGCCCGCACTGTCGTTCATCCGCAGCTCCTATCACCCATTCATCCAGGTCAGGCTCCATGGTTCTCTTGCCTACCTGCGTATAGCAAAGGGAAAACAACGCTATACGCTCAACAAAAGCTGAGTGGTAATCTAACAGTATAACGCGTAGCACATTCACATTGATATAGTCATGATCGTACCTGAACTAAGTACGGGATACCACGTACAAGTTTAACGGATAAGAGTTACAAATAACAATGATGTCATGTCAAATAAACATGATGCATGAATTAGACTGCGCAGGGACCCCCTGCCCTTCGGTGATCATCCCCACGCGGTAGATGAGCCGAGGAACGCCTTAGTCACCCCAATGGAGACTAGAATGTGGGTGATAGCTAAGCCTAGCTACCATGTACGTACACAAGCCCTCGTGATGAAAACCCGTTGGATCCCGCAGGTTCCTGGACGGGCCCACGGAAGAGGCGCACTGGGCCTGACCCCTTTCCGTGGTATGCAACGTATGCCATGGTCCTAAACATGCGTCTAAGATATAGATGATGGTATGAATGCTTTGGTTGGAGAGTGAGGTTATATTCAACACATGCAAATATATTTGAGTCCATATATAAACTACTTTTTCAACATGGCGGACCTGGGTTCAGAGCTGGCTGATAATCGAGTATCATGTTACGCAGTTCCTGTTCCCAAGTTCCGCAAGCCATGATAATCGATTGTCTCCTCATGACAATCGATTGTCAAAATATTTGCTCAGGACACCCAAGTCCAGAGGGGCCTGATAATCGTTTTTAGCTATATGATAATCGATTATCAAAAGAACCAGCCCAGACTTGATCATGTTTATTTGACATGACATCATTGTTATTTGTAACTCTTATCCGTTAAACTTGTACGTGGTATCCCGTACTTAGTTCAGGTACGATCATGACTATATCAATGTGAATGTGCTATGCGTTCTAATGTTAGATTACCACTCAGCTTTTGTTGAGCGTATAACGTTGTTTTCCCTTTGCTATACGCAGGTAGGCAAGAGAACCATGGAGCCTGACCCGGATGACTGGGTGATAGGAGCTGCGGATGAACGACAGTGCGGGCTAGATGAATTACTTATTTAATTTATGAAAACGTTTTGGGCATGAACCCACCTTTTGTCGCATTTACGTTATTTATGACCTAACAGTTTTACTTACATTTACTTCCGCTATAAACTTCTTTTAAGTGAATCCATCCTCATCATTTAATAAAGTATGTCAAGGGTTTTCCGTTACAAGCCACGGCAAGGGGTTTTTCCTTGTAGACGGCCTTAAACCGTCTACGTAACCTCTCCGGCACGTTGGACCGCGGTGAACCGGGTTCGCGGGACGGAGGGTGTTACATTTTGGTATCAGAGACCATTACGGTTCTAAAAAAAACTTTTGAAACCCAATTTGAAAAAAAAAACATTCTCTTCAGAACCCACTGTCGCATCAGCTTCGTATCTCCACCGGGAAAGGTAACCGTATCATCTGAGTTATTATTATTATTATTACTTAACCTGATAGGAAATCTCCTTCCAGAAAGGAGATGAGTCAAGCTCCCGAGCATGGACAACTTGGTCCTCAGGGAGAACAGGAGCACGTGAGTGTGCATACCGAGGCGTCTAGCTTTACACCGCAGCACGAAGTTCCGGAGCCGCTAGTTCCGCAACTGAATGCCGTACCTGAGGTTGTTCCTTTTCTGCAGCCGTAGATGGCGGCCAACATGCTCCAGTTCCTCCAGCAGATGGCCGGGGCGTATGTACCACCACCTCCACCGCGCCTCCTATAACGCCCCGAAACATACCCTAGAATTATTATTAAATAATTATTCGTTTAAACAAATTTGTTTTGATTAAAATAAATTGTTGTTGGGCTTTGGGCCGATACGAAATATGTTTTGATATCTATTATCGCACTCTAGATAAATCTCATAGAGATAAATCCAATATATTGACTTTTTGTGTGGTCTTGATTGGAAACCTGAGTACAGACCCAAATCAAGAGTAAATGAAAAATTTGTTTATAATGTTAATATTTAAATGATTTGTTAAAATAAATCATGAGAATAATTGATATGAATTAAATATGAGAACCTTTTATGAGAAAAGTCAATTAAACCAATTTTTACTCTATAGAAGTCAACCACCCAAAAATATGATGTCAGAAAAAGTATTACAAATAATTATGAAAAGTATGTCGTTGAATAGAATTCGACTGTCTGATCGCAACGGTGCAAACGGATTTGAATTTGGAGAAAGTTTGACCAAAAAGTGTACCCCAACTGGAACCAAAATTGGTCCCAATCAGGACACTGTGCGAACGGCGCCTCCCAGCGCACTAAGCCTAGCGTGAATCGTCAATGACTCAGCAACAACTGCGTCTCCTTCTCCTTCCCTTCCCTACATAAGAGTATCATCAACATTCTCATTCTTCACCAAAACTTAAAATTTTAGTACCATTGTGTTCATAAGAGTGAGGAGAGCAATCTGATATTGTTGGTTGCCACCGAAGTCGCCGGAGTTGGGAGTTATCGTCGCCGGAAGTTTCGTCGGAAAATTCTCAAAACCTTCGATAAGCTTGGAGATAAGCCCGTAGATATATCTAGTGACTAGAATGTTCGTATAGATCGTTTCTACGTTCATAAACGGTCGTTTGGTTGAGTTTTGTGTTTGACATGTTTGAAGAACCAAGAATCATAAACAATTAAATTGTTGTTAAAATTACAAATTAATGACTCTAAAATGATCTGTGAACATTGGAGAACATTTTTATATAATTAAATTGAAGTTTGGTGATAAAAAAATGATAATGTTAAAACTGACCCGAGGAAGAAGATGA